ATTGGCCGAAATGTACTTGAAAGGGCATCTAGTAAATACGGGTCTAAGTATTAACTGATATTTTGATATATTTAACTTCGTATTCAAGTTTATACAATTATTACTTACGATAAAAATCTTTTCACTAGAACACGAAATATATGATGCTTACGAGAAAATGGCCAGTTGGTGACAAACAGGAACTGCAGAAAATTCGAAGTAGTGCTACTCTTCGAGGTTACGGTCAGAAAATACTCCACGAAGACCTTGAAGCGATGAACCAAATAACAAAAAGTTCGAGAAAAAACATAAATGGACGACAGAACGAACGGGTGTACATGGATTAGATGACGGCTACAGAAAAGGAGGGGGATGAACATAAATTCGGGGTGAAAAGATGAAGATCTTCGCTCAATAAACAAAAAACCGGTATTAATACATTGGCTCGCGGTTGAACTCGTGACAATGTCCTTTTATTTCATCCGGAAATACCGGTTAAAAAATGATTTAAAAAATGAAAAAACGTACTTCTTAAAAATTAGTTGTATTCATAGCTTAAGTAGAATACAGAGGAAAAAGAAGGGTGTTGTGTATATAATAAATTTTCTTTTGAAATTTATTAAGTAAAATAAAATATCAATTTTCTTTTAGTTAATGTTTCGTAAGTATCTGTGTTATTTTTATGCTAATTTGTAATTCCGAATTTGTAAGTCAAGATGGAAAAACAAAGATAACGCCCTACAGTAAGGGTGCGACTACTCAGACGCAAGGGGGCGAATTTTCCGAGCGAGCGGCAGTTTGTCGCGAGAAGATGCGAGACGCGATTAATATCAAACCCTTTCAAATACGTGCGAGAACCAAAAATTCGCTCACGCCAGCAAAAATTCCTTGCTTCTCGCTTGTGCACGTTTTTCTTTGTTAGAAATATCGATCGCAGACCTCTCGCTTGCTACTAAATTTGCGTCTGCATTGTCGCACCCTGAGGCTAAACAAAAACACACGCAGAGTGAAAGAGAAAAAGGAAATGAATAAAGTTGTAACTCTTGATGCAGATTACTAAACTGCTGCTTCACAGTGCGACATTTTTAAAGCACGAGCACCCTGTAAGGTTTTTCGACGAGAGTCTGAAACCTCAATCAAATTCTGTTTTAAAAGAAAAAGTTGTTTTTTAGTAAATAAAATATCGCGAGAGAGCAGATCAGAAATTTGAGAATTTTTTCAAACATTCTATCTTTCCTTTTTTGGGAAGATAGAATGTTTAATAAAACTTAATGTCATGTGACTACATCTGGTAATATTTACAAAAGGAATAAAAACGCTTGACTCTGAATTACAGGCGGATTCGCAAAAACTTCTATAAACAGTTTAGGCAGATGTGCGACCTCCAACTTCTCTTTTGACTAGTCTTGGCAACAAACCTGGGACCAATCGAAAAGGTAGAAAATGAAAATCACGACCAACCAAAGTATCCGTTGGGAATGCAAAATCACTAAGATGCCCAAATTCAAAAACAGAGGGCAATCTTTCTTCTCAAAAGGAAAATTGAAATTTTCTCACCAGGTAACCGAAAGAGATTTCCCCAAAGACCAAGACATCTCAAAATCAACGGTTTTTCAGTAAATCGAAATAAATGATTCCATCGAACAGAAAAATCCCTCTTAGACCGAAAAAGTCTCTGGCTGGAACAAAGAAGCTTTTATCCTGGATACGAAAACAATGAACTGTGTTCTTCTCATTCTCCATTAGTGGAGTGATCGTTTATAACACTGATCCGCCCATAAAAAGCGACTAACATTGAGAAACTTCATCATCGTACGAACATCGCTTCTCGTCCAAACATTGGTATATTGTCAAATTAATTTTAAGAACCAAACATTAATTTTAAGAACCAACTTAGGTTTCCTGTCTTATGTGAAATGTCTTTCTTATATTACTAAACGGTTGTTAAATATAAGCGAAGTTCGTGCCTCTCAGTCTAACGCTACCCCCACATACGCAGATACGACTTTCTTGCCATCCTCAATCGCCTTCCTCCTTAATCAGGAGAGTGTCGATCGCGACGTCCGGAAATATTGTGTCCGTGATAAGACATGGCAGGGATCTTTTCTACACACAATTTCCGTTGCCTTTCCACCCCTCGATTCTTAACCAACAAAATTTAACATCATCAGTTTCTCTAAGCGCCTTCTTTCCCATTGACGAGTTAACTCGTCAACGTTGCATAGCGTTACGAAAAACTCGGTCCTTAAGGCCTTTGAAACATTTTTTTTCAATTTTAGTTTTTTAAGTCTCCAAATTTTTGCAAAAATTTTTACCCACCCGAAAAAATTTTATCGCGATTTTAGTCAACTTTTAATGACGCGCAATTCACGCTTTATTGCTTTTTAATTGTTCTTTAATGGGAGTTTGATATCAAATTTTAATCATCGTTCAAAAGATGTAGTGCACGGATTTTCCTTCGATAAAGTTATTTAAAGCTAGTTTCTGATGTCAAAAACGACCTCCAATAGTTTTTTTAAGTTTTTTATTAATATATTTTATTATATATAAGTTTAATTAAGGTGGGGGGTCAGAAATCGCAATAAAAATTATAATTTTTTAAAAATATTTACAAATATACGTATATTTCATAGTCGTAGGCGAAATCAGCGACTTTTATTTTAAAATGTAACGACATTTATTTACGAACGGTTGGGAACACTGCTTGTAGGTAGTCAGGGGACCGAGAACCGGGTCAAAATAAAATACAAAATGGTGCTGTTTCTACAAACAGGAGCGAGTTTCGCACTCTCCAAGACGGTCTCGTCCCAAGAATGGCTTTGCCGTTTTACTTTTTTTTTCATCTCTTTTTGCCCTGTGGGCTCTGTAAGCAAGTCCATTATGGGTTCGGCCAAGCCCACAATGAGACGACCGAGTGGTGAGGGACGGGACCCGACATATCCGGACGGACCATCCCCGAAAAATTCTTGGGGATTTTTCGACCCAGATAGATCCCTCCCCAGAGCGGTAGGCTGTCATCTGGACCGATCGGCCATCCGGTCAAACGGTCCAGTATAGCAAACAAACAAGCATCCTCATTTATATACGTAGGAATTTTGACAGAACTAGAAATAACAATAATTTTCCAGCGTTCAGCTAAATCTACCAACCGTCTTATCGATAGAACGATCGTAATGTGTTTCATCGTTTTTCGCGCCCTTTTTCTTAAACAGTCATCTGGCTTGGGACTTCTCGCGGCATCGCCAACTCTCGTCTTTTCACTTCTCGCCCAAATCCCATATATATAGGTTATTTGTTATAATTCTTAAATGTTTTTAATTATTTTAATTTTAAATACAGTATTATAATAATTATGCCATTTGAATTTTATAAATATTTTGTCAGAAAAGCGCCATCTATTCCAAAATTCGAATTTTAAATTTGTTCGAAATCGTAGAACATCATAGAACTTGTAAGAATTTCAGAAAAGAATCACGTAAGTTGTTTTTTCTAATTTATCTAGTAAAGAATTTGTTTTATTTATTTAAAAATAATCACCTGTTTGATGAATATTGAATGTATTCATCGTTATTCAGTAATTTTTATCGAAGAATAATTGGAAACAGGAACGAAAAAAATTGCTACTCTGAATAAATAATTGAATTTTATCTGATAATATCAATTTATATTTCTCTGAGAAAACCTAGTTATTTTGATATTGGATAATTAGAAGGCAAGTCTAGTAGTTTCCGCCCAAGAGAATGGGATTTTGCATATACTTTAGTTCGAATCATTCGATACACGCGTACAATGAAATTCGAAATTGTTATTATCTGTTCCGGTGATCATCATAAATATCATTTAATTCGAAATCTATCATCATGTTACGTATTTATAAAGAAAGTTTTCACGCGGAAATGACATTTTCGGTTTTACCAATGTAGAGAGCGGAACGCTATGAGGCACAATCTGCCGGCGTGTCCTTNTAGTCGAACGGTACACACTCGGTAAGCAATCCTACAATTTTTTGTTTATAACGTAGTTTATACGGATTATTTTCAAAAATATATACGTATTTTGGAAATGTTGAGTCAAATTATTCTAGAATCGATTAATTTTATGAAAGAAAATCTTTCAAACAGCCGTAGTCCGTAAACTATGATTCCTACAAAATTGATTCATAAAGAACGGAACGTATCTACCGTCTTATAGGGGGATCTACTGTATTTGTAAATTTGTGCCTTGCTGTGCCAATGAGCTAATCAAAAACGTTTCTCTGGTTTTTTTCATTTATGGTCACGTAGCTAGCAAACAGTTTCTTATAAAAGTCTCCCCGGAAAATTCACTCTTCGACAGATGGTTCGACTGTCCCGTTGCCTAACAAAATAAACTATACCTTAATGAACAAATACTCAACAAAACATGGATGAAACTTATTTAATCACGAACTCACTCAATTCTTGTATGAATATGGACGTTTCAATGTATATCTGGAAAGGTTCCACGGTTTGGTCACGGACTGCTGCTTACTGTGTGGAATACATGATTATTTTTGACATTATTTATTGACTGCCTCACGTTGGAAAACATCAGACATTGCCACCAGCAATAAGCTAACTTGATGAATACAGAATGTTCATATCTAATTAGTAGACTATTTTATAACTAAACACAACAACTTCAACGTTTTTAAGAAAATTGAGAAAGGTTATCATGCAAGGACAATCATTCACTGATCTTTAACGGAATTTCCCAAAAGTGACTCTGCATGTTTTCTTTTCTTTATTGTCATCTTGTGAACAACCAGATTGTATGATATCCACTCTGGTAAGATACAGAGGGTTGCTGTATCATCAACTATAATGATTCTGTTTTCCATTAAGATGCTTCTGTTCTTTTTTATTTATTTTTTCTCTTACTTTATTCGTGTTTTGTGCAGCGGTCCAACTGACATTTATTCTTCAATGTACACGGCGATTGAAAACTCACAAAATTATTGAATAATTATTGAGTCTCAAATTATTTACAGTAAGGTATGTTATATGAGGTATGACACTATAAACATCATTAAAAAGCATTTCTGTTCATAATGTCATACTCATCTAACATCTGTGCTCGTGAATGAAGGACATCACATTAAACATTTTAATATTGTTAAAATAATAATAAAAGGATATAAATGTTTTTATTGTGAGCTTCAGTAACAACTACACAAATCACGTAATCTTATCAAATGCAACCTAATTGCAAGTAAAGTAACTATTTTGGTACTAAAAAATTCCGTTTCTTTCTAAGCATATCTGTGAAAACCGCATTATCGTACTGTAAATAATATGCGAGTAATTAATTTTTTAAAATTTCTGTGACTTATGAATCACTATATAATTTTTTTGTATACTGACCCAATTAAGCCTGGTAGTGTCAGGTGTTTAATAAAATTTTCTTTGAGTGATTGAAGTAGACTTCTTGGATGAATTTCCTATGGCTGATCAAACATGTTTTATTCGACTAAACCCAAAGGAACATTTTTTATATTGCATGTAAATATAAAAGTATTTATTTCGAGTCTATCTTTTAGTACGAAATGTGTAAACACGAAACTTCTTTGTAGCTATCGAATTTCATATATAGTGCTGGATATAAAATATTTGTCAATAACAAACTTTAAATTAAATGAACGTCGTCTGTGTTCACTGCACGACACTGATATCGTGTATAATATGCACGCAATTTTTTATGGAGTTTTCCAATTATAACCACCTGACTACAACATAATTTAAGAAACACAATGTACACTAATATAAAGAAATTACAACTTATTGGCAAGTCTACGAATGAAATTCTTTTTACATACTAATGACAGATGATGATAGATATTAATTTTATTTTATTGTATTTTCGAGGTTGTACCACTAACGAGAGCTACTCCAAGCAGATTATAATTTTTTTGAAGTTTCATCTTTTATCACAACGAATTTGAATTTCTGAAAACATCAAATTTTGATACTTATGAATTGCATGGGATTAATAAAATATGGTGTAGTAAACCAGACAATAAAGTTATATAATTAATGCTTTGTTTCATTCCTTTTTCATTTTTTGCAGGTCTATCTTTCTCACATAGGAAGATTTAACTAACCCATAATAGTAAAGAATAGACAGACCACTTGTATATTCATTTGTTAATTAATAACATATTCGTTTATGTGTTATTTACATTTATGTCACCAGCATATTATAGTGTAATTTTTTTCGTCAATATTGCTATAAATAAGGGAAGAATATAGCAATATTTAAAAAGTAGGTCTATCTCTTTCAGATCAACTAGATTTTATGTAACGGTTATCTGTATATTTTTAGAACTAGAAAGTAATTTAACTGAAAGCAATCTGTTTACTTTTTGTCATTAAGCAAGTATATTTTGAACGACAAAAGTAAGTTTATAAAACTGTTTTTTTAAAAAATTTGTCACGAGAGAAAGAAATCAATTAAACTTTCAACAGAAAGAAAAAATTCAGTTCATGTTTTATAACTGCACGTTATTTATGATCAATAATAAACGTTTCTGCTGTATGAATTCGGTGATTTAATGTCTTAATGTAATTTTATATGCTAGTGAAATCAGTTGGGTCAATGAAGACAATGTATAAGATCTTGTTGATAGATTTTATTTTACTTTTCGAAATTGTCTTTGTTACAGGACGTAAGTATTAAACACTTTTTAAAAGAATTAATTCGTAAATTATATTTAAAATAAACACTGTTAAATTACAATCTTTGTTTAACAACCTATTAATGGAAATTAATGGCATGGCCATTGATTGAAGGTTATAGTGTGTCTTATTGTTAAAAAAAAAGTTTCTGAAAGCATGATACTGTTTAGGTGTATTCGTTGTTAACTAGTGGCCATTATCGATTGTATATAATAGCTTTATGATTTTGAAACGTACTTCTTTGAAATATTCACACGTAAATAATAATTCTTAATGTGTATACTTTACTACAGCAGAAATTTAACATGATTGTGTTTATATAAACTGTCCTACCTTTCTGGGTTTCCTACTCTTGTTGCTTATCGAATAGTTTAAAACATATATCAATTAATATCGTATTTTAAAGAGATTCGAACTTCTAATTTTAACCACCGCTAAACACAAAAAATTTTTTGAGAAAATTCGACAAAATATCAATACATACAAAGTAACTTCCAAACACTGGCCGCTTTGGAACGATGTTGATTTTTATGTTTTTTGTGATCATGTTTACAGGTGGGAAGTACAATAAAAATTAATTTTCTGACTGACAAATGAACTTCTTGAATTAATACGGAGCCCACTAGTGGCAAAGCAGACTCGTTTCCTGAGTACTGGGAATTCGATCGTGGGTTTGTTTCTTGGCCGGACAGTCTGGCCACGTGGAGATTTCCAGATTTATACGACGTCTCTAACGCCTGAATAGGAGCCAGTTACTCTTAAAAAATACCTTTCGGTTAGAGAGTTCGCTCATGAGCTGCATTGCTATAACATAACAAAACAAACAAAGAAAAAATCCTAATACTGAAACCGCTCTAAAAAACATTCGAAATTTAGGACGAAAGGCACAGAAGCTATTGAGCTTCAAATTTGGCAGAAAAGATTGTTTCTTTTTTGCCCACACAAACAACAACACCACACATACAGAATCAAACTTGAAAACAATGAATTCAACATATTTTTATTTATAGATATAAGTGTTTATTTTTAAAATTAAATAACGACGTAAAATTTAAAACTTTTTACCAATTATAATCGATCCTTGGAATTTTCTATTTTATTGCCATATAATTTAATAAACAATGCATATTAAGTGTTTTTTGAAAATGTAATAAATGAGTGGCATGAAAATTTCAAAGAAGGAATTTTAAATATAAAAACACAGAGCTAGAATATTACATCTTGTATTAATTTATTGATTTCTATTTTTAATTTGAAAACCTTTAGCAAAAACTTATTAAAATAAAAATAGAAAGTAAAATATTGTTTAAAATCAATAATATAATCATCATTCACTCAATACGAGTTTTTATTACTGCACGACAACAGAGTAAACCCTGTTAAGCTAAGTGGAATTAGTTACATTTTAAGGTGATAAATTAGAAATTAATTTCAGTAATTTTTCTACTTTAAACTAAAGTTGTTGATGTTAATAAGTTTTTAATATTATAATATTTTATATATTCACAGAAAAATATTGAAAATATGACTAGAAACTCATTGTTTTTCTTGCTCTTCCTTACAAACAATTTTTTTACTTACGAAAGTATTAGTGGTAAGTTACTTTTGTATTCTACACAAATATAATGAAATTTATTAAATCTTATAACAAACAATTTTATAAAATATTCAGCTGTATCATTTCTAAATTTATATGTTTTTTTAACTTGGTAATTTATAAGTAGTTTTCTTTCGTTTTTCAATGAATTAAACGAGATATTAACGAGTAAACAGTATAAATTCCATTATCTGACAAGAAATTATTTAATTAGACATCGTCACAATGCCAGGTACAATTTTTAATCACATTTTAAATTTATTTAACTTAAAATATATGCTCTCCACCTGAAATTAGTATGGACTCGCTCCTGTACATCATACTTTTCATTTCAGAATAGAGTCATGCCAGAGAATTAAAAGGTACAACTTTAATTTTCGGTTTTGATGTAGAAAATTTTAACAAGACTTTAAAAACTGTTGTATTTAGTATAAAGAACTTTACGATAACTTAACTTTATTGACTACCATTTTGTAATTGGGGTTGGTGCATTCATCTCACACCCACACAATATACATTATTATAATGCATTCATACAGATATGTACATGTCATTATCAAATTTTAAATTTGATTATCTTTATGGGAAAGATAACAAGTTGGAGCAATCCCCTAACAAAAAGATATAAGTACAAAAGATATTCTAACACGTGAACTAATCATTCTTCTGGGTATCGAGTATCCATTGCCGTATAATTCGGTTTATATAACCTTCTTAATTATTTCAATGTATTAAAGCTAGTTTGCTTGTCTATGCGCCTGTAGTAAATTTCAATTATATTATTTTCTAGCTATCCTAATTAGCTTCGTTAAATTCTTTAAATTATCTTTATATCGGTGGCTTATTGAAATAAAAACACTAAAAACTAGTAGTTAGTCCCGGGTTCGCATTTCACTAAGGTTTTCTCCCTTTGAATATCATTCAACATGCTGTTATTTTCATTCATCTACTTCATGTAAAATATACTATAAAATATTTTAATTTATATTTTACATGAAACTTGTTGAACACTATATATAATTGAGAAGCATTCAATTATTATTATTATTATTATTTAATTAGAAATAATGAAAAAGACAGTCAGTAGAAGAGTGAGTAAAATAAAAATCACTGCAGTACCAGTAAGTTCTGTTTATAATTTACGGAAAAAATAATTAATTAATCGTAATATATCTTATATCTTGTACTTTATTATATATTCAGCTTTCTTCGTATTTAGAAGTGAAAAAAATTAACAACACTATAGTGTTTGACGGTATTGATTTCAAATTTTTAAGTTTAGTCATTCAGAATTTAAAGAATGTTCAGTGAGTAAATTTATTTTACTTCTAAAAAATTTGCATCATATATTTTTATCTATAAATTATTTTACATAGATATGAGATTATTGAACCTGTTGAAAATGTGTTTGGAATGAAATTAGACAATGGTTCATGGAATGGTGTCATTGGAAGAATACAGAAGAATGTATGAATATTGAAAGTTCATAAGTAAACTTATCATATTAATTGTAATTATGTAAAATTTTTTATTTATATATTTAAGGAAGCTGATCTTGGAGTAATTGCATTATATGTGACGTATGATAGATTTCAAGTGGTCAAATTTACAGTTCCTGTTACTACTACAAGAATTCTATTTGTTGTTTCTAGACCTAACAAACTATCAAAAATAAGGGCAATTATAAGGCCTTTTTCATTTGAAGTAAGTAAACTCTTATTATATGTTATATTATATTATATGATTTATTCGTACTTAAAATACGTTTCATATAAAGAGATTTTGGAGTATTTTTACCACTTCTCGCAATCTCACAATTGTGTTTTTTTTTTTTAACAGACATTAACTATAATATCAAAATAACTAGTTATGTCTAATCTAAATTGTAACGAGTTTAAAACATAAAAACACTCAAAAGGCACTTTCCTTCGCCATATGATCCATTTATGTATTGTTTTCTACCAAATTCTAAGTGTCATCGTTCAGAAATGTAATATGTGACGATATATAAGTAATTAAGTAACATAAATAGATACAGTAGAACCTCGATTATCCGGACTAATTGAATGTTGTCCGGATACGGAAAAATTCAGATAATCGAAACAAATACTTTAATTTGTATTTTAATGATAACAGAACACGTTTTCTTTTCGATGACATATCGGTAATATTAAAAATAAATACTGTATTTAAATCGTCATCAAGTTTTCAAGAAACAAATGTTTTTATTAAATTTGTACTACTACTGACCAGCGCTAACGGACTACCTATTGTTTAAAAGGCCCTCTGGTGGCGCAAGAAGACTGATTTTATAAAATAAAAAGCAGTTGAAACTACATTTCTATGAGTAAAAATTTGACAAACTGTTTATCGTTTTATGACGAGTAAAATTTTTTGTCGCATTCGCGGCTTTTAAGTAATGCATAAACCTCCGAAGCGCGAGGCCCTTCGGACCACGAGACATAGGCGGTGGCCCACGTTGTCCATGCCTTACGCCGCCCTTGGTCATAGAAATGGTGTAATTTATAAATTATTTATAAATACGTATGTCAAGTTATATTTTTATTACGACGTAAAATATATTTAAGAGTTTTACGACCACTGTGCTGGGTTAGACGCTGTTGAAACAAAAAAGTTATGCATTTCATCACGTACTTAAACAGTGTCGTAATTCGCCAAGTGCAAAACAGCAAATTCGTAAAATTTTTATTTATTTTGAACAACCCGGATAATCGAAAATCCGGATAATCGAGGTTCTACTGTATTTGCTACTATCGTGAACTATAATTATATATATTAAGTAATAATTTTTTAATATACGCTTCTGAAATTCGTGTATTTGAAATTGTTCTATAACAATTTATTTTCATGATATATTTTGTAGGTGTGGATCTGTGTTTTTGCTTCTTTATTTGTCACTGCAATTGCGTTTTACTGTATTGTCAAAGGAAACTTTTATTTTCTCCAAAAAACAACTTCGTGGACCATGAAAAAAATTTTCTGGTTTATCATTAGCAGTTTAATAAAGCAAGGCAAGCAATTATACATTAATGTTAAAAACATGTTTTATTAAGAAATAAAATACTTTCCAAATATGAAAGTTACTATAAAAATCATGTAAATGTAATCTTTATTTAACATATTTATTAATTTTTAAAAGTTTTTAACTAATTCATAAAATGTAAATTAAATTGGATGATATTAAATTATTGAAAATATAACTGCAAATGCATACTTTAAATATAACTAATAATTTATGAACGTGAAACCGTGTCGTGTTCTATTTCTATTGTTTACATAACACAATGCAGTGCAACACAACGATCACCTGGCATTCTTTCACCTTTACTCTAGTTCAGTGTTTTTCAACCTTCTTGAATACGCGACCCCTTTACAAGTTAAAAAATTCTGGCGACCCCCCCGGGCCATATTAAAACTATATCAGTGATATTAAAACCTTTGTATTTAATTTTTTTTCTGACTTAACACAAGAACTTAACACAAGAACTCAAGACAAATTAAGTATGCAGCTTCCCTTTTTGGGGGAAGCTACATACTTAATTTGTCTTGAGTTCTTGAGCCGTTGATTTTTTTTTAGGATCAGTAACTTCAGGATGATTGAGATTTGAGTATCGATCAAACAATCAAATGCGCAGTATTTTTTAATGTAGTGTAGGACCTACAAACACTTGTATTTTTCTTTTGCCCGCGACCTCCCGTGTAACGCCTCGCGACCCACAGAGGGGTTGCGACCCACAGGTTGAAAAACACTGCTCTAGTTGATACGCGCTTACATCTCGAATCTTTGGCCGAATACGCCTCTCCCCAGTCAATAGCACATCTGGTTATTACTGGTTCAGCAATCTGAACAAGGTTTCACATACATATTACACGCATTCCACTTACATACTTATTCTGGCACGTCTTGATTAATCCGTTTTTTATCTTACACGATAAAATCACGATCTTGTCTTACACCCTTCTTAATTGTAAATCACTTAGACACATTACTGTTCACACGTACACAATTTTTCTATTTTTCGTACACTTCTCTCACACATCAAAACCGTTTGCCTCTCAATCCATCAGCAAATAATACTTGCCACATTTTCTCCTTATTCATTCTATCATATACTATTTTTACATGAACAAACACTGCAAACATATTATCTCTGACCTTTCTCCACAATCTTTTTCTCAATGTAAAATATCTGATCCACACATCACTTTCTTTAAATGAATCCGCATTGCACTTCCTATATTCACAGTGCAGTTAGCTTCTCCTTTCTTATAACCAACATTTGTGCGAACACTTTTCAGGTAAGCTCAGCAAACTTATTCCGTGGAAGTTTTTGCAATCTGTTTTCACCCTTTTCTTTGTATGTTGAAAAAATCACAGCATTTTTCCAATCACACGGACCTCTGATATTAGCGAGGATGAGGCCGAAGTTTTAAACGTGAAAACGTGTACATCGGACGTTCAGCGCTGCTTTCCTGTAAGCCTAGAAGTTTGACAATGGTATTTGGCAGGGCTGTGGAGTCGCGTAAATATCTACCTACTCCAACTCTGACTCCGACTCCGACTCCGTCTTAAATACATAACAAGTTGGTACGTAAAAGGGAGTCAGAATCGGCGGAGTTTTTCTCCGACTCCGGCTAAAACACCAAAACTCCACGACTCCGACTCCACAGCCCTGGTATTCTGAATGTCGAGCATGATTCTACTGACTTTCTAAACACCATTGTTAAACTTCTAGGCTTACGGAAAAGCGGCGCTGAACGTCCGACGTACACGTTTTTACGTTTAAAACTTCGGCCTCAACCTCACTATTATTCCAATGTAAACTGCAGAGTCACTGCATCCACTTTGTCACATTTTCAATCATTACATTAATATTTTTACAGTCACACCATACAGACCAGATGATTGCTAAATTTCAAAAACCTGCAATTTTTTTTCACATCTTAACTTCACTCAATTGAACTAATCTCAATTTAACTTCATAACCATTAACTCAACTCCATTTTACTTCTCAACTCAACTCCATTTTACTCAACTCAACCCCATTTTACTCAACTCAACCAATTTAACTTCACAACCATTAACTCAATTTAACTTCACTCAATTGAACTAATCTCAATTTAACTTCACAATCATTACTATTTTTATTTATCACCCCAACTGTTATTGTATTTATGCTACCTACACTGTCCCTCAATAGGCTTTTATGAAAAGAACGAACCTAACTTTTGCAAAGAGAATTTGAAGAAAATAGAAGACCGTTGTAGAAACAAATAAATTTTATGCATGTCAACAGGAAAAAAGTTCATCCTGTGTACGAAGTGCAAATTATATATTTCTGTTAAATGAATAATAGGTGTGTAATTGGTGGAATAAATCTCTAATGCAGCGCTTCGTTTCCTCTCTCTGTACTTATCCTAACGTACTCTGCTATTTAGACTGTTCATGTATGCAGTTTTTTTCTTTTTCACCCTGTGCTGAACCCTCTCAATCTACCATGCTTTCCATATCTTACGTCCCAGTCTCGTTATACCACAAATATTTGTTGCTGTTTCTCCATACAAAATTGGAAGTGCTTTCATCCTTTCAAAACACTCAACAACTTATCTGCATTTCTCAGTTTCTAATCAACAAGTTCTCTATGCTTATTCTTTCTCTTTGTCAGTAACTTTGTTTTTACTGGCTCCGGAGCAAACATTTGTTCCGAAGTATAGTGGAATAAAAGTGGAATTGTGTATAGTGTATAGTGGAATAAAAGTGGAATATAGTGGAATTGTATAGTCACTATACAATTCCACTATATTCCACTTTTAGTGGAGTAAAAGTATTACACTATACTATAGTGTAATACTTTTACTCCACTATACAATCTTTAGTTGCACTCACAATACCACTAAATTATAGTTTGAGCCAGAATCAGCTCCTCTGTATCATGTATATTTCACTACACTTTTCGATCTGTCATCATACATAACAAAATCTATTTTACTTCTTTCATCTTTGTTACGATTTTCCAATTTGTGCTTAGGTATGGTCTTGTGGAGAAAAACGCTTTGGATACGTATGAATATTTTTCAACAAATAGACCAGTCGGCTTACCATTATCCTTTATCCGGCGATCACTTGAGAAAAAGATCACAGAGCGATCTTTTCCTCAGACGTTTAACTCTTCATACTCCTGCAATCGTTCATATCTCCAGTTGAAATCATACGCTTTTCGGGTTCATATTCATCTAAGTTATGTTTTAATATTTCCCAAAACTCATTTTTAAAGCATCGCAGCAACTTACTGACTGCTGCGATGCTTTAGAAACATACATGACAACAGCAATGACTCTCTGCACCATAACTTTCAGGCACACCCGTCTCAGTCTTTTAATCACTTGCTTATACTTCTCCATATATTCCTTTGTGTGTACATTAACTAAATCACCTACTCCTGTATATCACTTGCATATTATACCAGATTAACACATTTCCATTCACATCCATACACCTCTTGCCTCTTACTCTTGTCTCACTCATGCAAACAATATCTTACTTATATTCAGTCATTTCTCTCGTTAACTTTCAATGAATTTTTTTATATTAATTTCTTTCAGGAAATGAAATAAATCAAGATAGAAGTAGTTCGTTAAGAATTTTTATTGGAATTTGGCTATTGGTGACAACTGTACTTATATCAGCATACAGTGGTGTTCTCTTTTCCTACATCACTTATCCCGCTTATGCAAAAGTTCCGAAAACAATTGAAGAACTTTCAAATGCAGTCAGGAATCGTGAATATTCTTGTGGGACTCTATCACATTCGGCTTTCGAGAAAATGATGATGGTAACTTTCTACAATATATTTTATTTTTACATTTTGTATTAGAAATTTTAAATAAGTACTTTTATTTGCATAAGTCAGATAATGTCAGTAACAAGCTGATATATCTTGAATAATTTCATTACATTAGAGAACATACACGACAATGGATTTTTCTTTATTGTAGGCTAATTAAGTATGTTTATTATATTTATTTCATTTTAGGATGCCACTAAAGGTATGGTTAGCATTTTAGGTGACTACATAAGAAATAATCCAGATAAGAGCTTTTCCACCGTGAACGAAGGAATTCAATATGCTCTACAACATAAACATGCGTACATAATATCTGACAGTATTATAAATACATTAACAGTTAAACCGGAAGAACAATTAATAATCTCAGAAGATTCATTTTTAACTTATTCATTAGTATATCCTATAAATATAAACTTTAAATTTGAAAAGAAATTCAATACAATGTAAGTGGTTATTTTTATAACATTACAAAATTTTCGCTTATGTAAATATAAATTTTTCAAATTTAATATTTAAGTATTTATTTAATTTTTACATATTTTATTTATGTATTTGTTAGGAAATTGCATGCAAATAAATGCAAATTTATATACTAATTATTTAGGCCTATATACATTTTACAGGTTTGTAGAATACAATAGAGAGTATGAGTTTAAATCTTTCTTCTTTACTTCATTCCACTTTTTTTGTTCAATAGTTTAATATTATTCAGTTTTATTATTGAAGGGTTTTTTAAAAACAGCAAAAAGTTATTGAGCATTTTATACAGAATCTCCAAAACAGTCTGTTAACAAAGACTTGTTTAGATTTTCTATGAGTAAACTCGTTTCTGCTTAAATGTTAAAAAGGGTAGAAAATTTTTAGAAAAATCTACGTGGCCTGTCTCTTGGTTTCGCGTGAATGAACGACTAATTACCACTAGTTTTATTCAGTCAACCATTGTTTATCGCTTATTTGTGAAGTGAAGAAATAATGATTTCAAATAGTTACAGAATTTATGACGCAGAACAAGATCTGACAATTACCTGTATAGCAATAGATGGTGGATTATTGTGAAAGATTTGATTTCCATTGTTACAATATTCTATTTAATTTTACATTGAACATTTTGTGTATATCTAGCTTAGTTTCTCAACAATTCTTGAATGTTAGGATAAGCGAGATAAATAATTTTAATGTTAACATATTTTAATAGATTTATTAATTGTCTTTTGTAGCTTCTCTTTTAATTTCACTTTCAAATTGAAAGCTAAGAGTATCGCTACTTTACGGACTTGTCATAAAAAAACCTTCGGACATAATAGGAACGAATTTAGACTTTACTGATTATTCTTAATTCTTTTAGATAAATCAGGAAAAATATTAAAAATAAATTTTTATAAAAAAAAAATTTAAATAAAAGTCTTATGTATTTACAGTATAACCTATAATTAAGAAAAATCTAATTGTTTTAAAAAAATACAACAAAAAATGTCTTTTAAAATTTTAGTAAATGTTATTATAATCGTGCAGTGATAAATTATAAAACAATCTGTCATATAGTACCTTATTATATTTATAATACAGTATTAGATACTAAAATGATAAGAATTGACAAAATAGAAGAATTGAGTGTGAAACTCAGAATGCATTTTTTTTTAAATTAATATCCTGCGTTTCCTGCATGATAAATCAGTAAAATAGCGATACTTTAATTAGTCTTTAAAAAGCTGTATTTAACTAGGTACACATTTTGCAATCGATGTAACGTGCCATTGTAATATGCCAAAAACTATACAATACCTAGGAACAGTATTTTTACGATAAAATCAATTTCGAGTCGGTTTTTCGATCAAACAAATAAAATTTTGTATTGCAAGCATAACAATAACAGAAGAAAAAAGTGAAAGAAAACTTATTGAAAAAGAAAACGCGATGTAAAAGAATGTCGAATTCTATACAGTACTACAGTAAGAATTTACAAACATATTGCTGAATGGTTGGCTCACCGTAAAGTGTAACTTGCTCATAAGAACATTTTCATGCAATGTAAGGGAATGGCTTTACTTATCCTAAAGTAAGTGCCTATCTAAAAGCAGTTTAGTATATGAGGCAATGGGTGAATTTACTTTATATACAGCAGACTTTTCGAAAATTCATTCGTTTGTACCTGAAAATATTAAATAATATTTAAGTCTTTACTTCCAAAGTTCGTTTACAACGTTTTACTTTTTAGTTACATCTCACTTACAAATTTTTTTAATGACAGTAAAAAAATATTTATATTTTATTTATTGTTAGATTCTGAAGGAAGCTAAAAAATAAATTCATGTCACATATACAATTACTTATTATAAATAAATTCATGCCACGTATACGATTACTTATTTAATAATAAGTAATCGTATTACATACGATTACTTATTATTAAATAAGTAATCGTATGTAATTATTAACAAATAGAAAATATAGTACATAAATATATTAAATTTTAATTGTTTTCTAATGTAGAATAAGAAGATTAGTAGATGGTGGTGTATACGAAAAATTAAAACAAAGCGATTTGCCTCAGAAGAGAAGCAGTAACAGAGAGATATATCTTCCACTTTGTATCGACGACATTTGCAGCGCCTTAATATTATTGTTATGTGGTTATGGTATATCTTTTATAACTCTATTTGTTGAAACAGTTCTAAACAAAAGACACATTAAAGCTATTCCACAAAATAATTAATAATAAAATGATACTATTTGAAAAATTAAATACCACATAAGTACTTTAACATCTATAGGACAAGTAGTGCTGAATTGATGGAGTAAATTTTTCAAAATTTAATAAGTTATGAGTTGTATTACAAACTGGTATATGCCTAACTAGGCATATACCAGTTTGTATATGCCTAACTATATGCCTAACTATATACTAGAAATTGTATATGCCTAATATACCAGTTTGTAATACAACTGTATGATGTCCAATTTATCTGATAATTTTTATTATTGGCTACTTCTTAGAAAAAGCTGAATTACCGGATATTCCGAAGATGATATTTGAAGATAAATATACATATATATAAACATCTTTATTTCAACTTATTCCATTTAAACTTCTAACATGCCTCAGCGACAAAGAAAATTGCACCATTTAAACTGCTCTCTTTCTCTCACTCTCTGTTTGTATTTTAAACAGAAAGAATAAATAAAGGCAATTCAGTTGAAATCTTCGTTCTCATTCATACATAAATGTAGAAGCTAAGTATACGTTTGTTTGAAATATGCATATGTTTGATATACAAAAATTGTAAGATATGCTTTGAATAATTATGCAAGCTGTCTCCGCCTCCTATAAATTTAAATTATATTGAATTACCAACCATTTCAGTTTACTCACCATTGTAAAGTAAGTTTAACCACTGAACACAAATTCGGTGGTAGCTGATTAATTTACCGGTCAAGTAAGACGTGCAAATCCAAGAAAAGTTTGTCATGGGTTCATGCGTCATTAACGGTCTAACAGAGTAAAGATTTCGAATTTTCTTCACATGTCCATCTCCTCTAAATAGATTTTACACCTGTTTCCCATAAGAAGTACTTTTGGAAGACAGTACAATGTGACCTATTGCCATGTTGCATTGCTTTTTCAAATAATCCAATCTATTCTAAAATGTTAGGTAAGGAATTCACCCAACTTAAATCGCAATTTCAGCAAATTGTATTAAAATTTTTCACATAAACTTCTAATGAAGTCTCTATTTCGTTTCTGGAATACTGCTATAAAACTTATACAATATTTTCATTTTCGAGTAAAATCATGAAAGAAATAAATATGTTTTTACTTATGTTAAAAAAGCACTTTCTATAAGTATGGCTTATATATTAGTAAATAATAAAAATACTGTTGACAAATATTGTGTCCATTAATTTTAATGTTTAAAAATTGATAGTGGAGAGATAATGGGGATCAATTGAGTGGAGAGATGAGGATTTTTTTTACAGGGGTTAAATTTAATGAAGATTTTACTCGTTAGTTGCATTTGCAGTGTTTTTTTTTTTTAATTTATTCTTAAATTCAAAATTAAAGTTTTTGCCATTTTATGTTAGTTAAATATGTAAAAACTTTTAATAAAATATTATAACAGATGACGTCAACAAATTTGAAATATTGCCTGGAAGACAGGGCAACTCGTTACTGAATTTCTTTACTCATAGCTTCAATAAATCTTTTTATCATTATACTCATTAGTTTGAGTAAGTCTCTTCCAGATTACATTTCTGTAATTTCTCCTCTATTTTCTTATTTTGAATTTTTATAAGATGCTGTGAAATTTTCGTATATCCCATTTGTGCAGTGTTTTATGTTTTAATCTCGAAACAAACAGTGCTTCTTGTGAATCTCAAGTGCTGTTAGCACATGTTGACCTTAATAAATCTGGTTGTTTTTAATTGTCACGATATTACAAATAATTTTAGGGTAATTCCTCAAATAATAATGCAACAGCAATTAATTATTTCCATTTATAATTGTGAAATCCGCGAAGTTAATGCAATTGTCAGAAAAAAATGTAAACAACTCCGGTAGAAAAAACGCTCCTGGTGAGAATTAGATTGGAGGTCACCGTTTGTAGTAACAATTAGATAAGAAAGTTGACACATAGGTGTCAAGAATGCACCATTATTGTTAACATTTGACAATCATGTAACTCTTTTCCCAGGACAAGCGAATAAAGCTCGAGCCCCTAGAAGTTCAGAGCGATTTCTCATAGAAAGTTGTAATTGGTGATAGTTCCACCTTGACTCCTGGACCTCCATACAGCGGACATAATCTAGATAAAGGGAGAAGGACACAGGTTGGAAGATACCAAGGACTCCTAACTCTTTCATACAGATGATGTTTGCCATATCAACTCTCCAATACGCTATGAGGTATTTACAGCTCTTAGAACTTGTGAACTCGTTTTCTCTCGAACTAGAGATTAGGAAAGCGACATAGTTACGAGATTACTCGCCCATTTTGTGTAAATAGGATAGCATAACCGCATTTAACCTTAGCATTATTATTGCTTCTTGTAATCTACATTTAGTTAATCGATAAATGCTTTGTTATTTTGTTAAATCTGTCTATCATTGTTCTAAGGACGTCTGCCGGCATAGTCGGTTCTCCCCCACTTGCTAAGAAACCATCTGGAACGATAACATGAGCAGTTTTTGCAGACTGTTACCGAGTAAGTAGTCAGAAGGAATTAACCTTTGGCTCACAGTTTCTCACAATTTGGTGTCAGGTCTGGGGTGTAGCCAACATAAAGGCTTTCGACAGGTTAGTCCATGACAGACAGTATTCATTGGGAAACAGGTTTGTCTGCCGAAGACAGGTTCTTCTGAGGAGACAAATTTAGGCGATTCTAGCATATATTAGCAGAAGAACTGAAGGAGAAATCCTTAGAGCAGTTTTAGGTACAGGAAAAATTTCATTTTTCTCTTGCCCACATTTTCTGGAGATGCAGCAGGACTTAGAGTATCCGAATTTTTTGACATGCTGGGAAACATAGCAAAGCCAGAGACATGGACAAAAGCACAAATGTTGCCGGTATCTAAGTTGAAACTTACAAGAATAGCTTGGAAATTTGTCCAAAAGGACTGGTGGATCAAGCAAGTGGAGGACTATGATGAGTTCAAGCAGATCATGCTAGAGCGATTCGAAGAAGTGTCTTTTCCCATTCAATTAAATAGAATTTACGCTTCCATACAGTTTCTGGATGAAGATGTTCAAACGTATGCTGCGAGCTTACAGGTCATTGCAGCCAAAATGGAAATTCTCCAAGAGGAAGCACAAGCAACAGAAACCGCAATGATCAAGTGTGTGTACAAGCCAAAGTGTTAGATGAACGCCTGAAAGCTCCGTTTCTGAATGGCATAGTGTTAAAATCAGGCAACACATCATGTCACAGGAGTTATCGACATTCAATGACATACTCAAGACATATCCATTGGATCTGTTCTCTTATGACGAGAATTCTCAGACACTGCATTCTTTAGAAAAAAACAGTTATTGCACTGAGATGCCCCTTTATGAAATATATGCAAGGTGAGCTATTCAATCATTAGGCAATTAAGACGATGTCACCTGCCTACAATAATGAAAAAATTGTGTACATACAAAACACACAACATACTATGAAATATCTGATTAGCAATGTAGGATAGGCTTGAACAACTTTGTGATATTCTGCTCTTTCCCCATTTTTTGNTTGTAATTGGTGATAGTGCCACCTTGACTCCTGGACCTCCATACAGCGGACATAATCTAGATAAAGGGAGAAGGACACAGGTTGGAAGATACCAAGGACTCCTAACTCTTTCATACAGATGATGTTTGCCATATCAACTCTCCAATACGCTATGAGGTATTTACAGCTCTTAGAACTTGTGAACTCGTTTTCTCTCGAACTAGAGATTAGGAAAGCGACATAGTTACGAGATTACTCGCCCATTTTGTGTAAATAGGATAGCATAACCGCATTTAACCTTAGCATTATTATTGCTTCTTGTAATCTACATTTAGTTAATCGATAAATGCTTTGTTATTTTGTTAAATCTGTCTATCATTGTTCTAAGGACGTCTGCCGGCATAGTCGGTTCTCCCCCACTTGCTAAGAAACCATCTGGAACGATAACATGAGCAGTTTTTGCAGACTGTTACCGAGTAAGTAGTCAGAAGGAATTAACCTTTGGCTCACAGTTTCTCACAATTTGGTGTCAGGTCTGGGGTGTAGCCAACATAAAGGCTTTCGACAGGTTAGTCCATGACAGACAGTATTCATTGGGAAACAGGTTTGTCTGCCGAAGACAGGTTCTTCTGAGGAGACAAATTTAGGCGATTCTAGCATATATTAGCAGAAGAACTGAAGGAGAAATCCTTAGAGCAGTTTTAGGTACAGGAAAAATTTCATTTTTCTCTTGCCCACATTTTCTGGAGATGCAGCAGGACTTAGAGTATCCGAATTTTTTGACATGCTGGGAAACATAGCAAAGCCAGAGACATGGACAAAAGCACAAATGTTGCCGGTATCTAAGTTGAAACTTACAAGAATAGCTTGGAAATTTGTCCAAAAGGACTGGTGGATCAAGCAAGTGGAGGACTATGATGAGTTCAAGCAGATCATGCTAGAGCGATTCGAAGAAGTGTCTTTTCCCATTCAATTAAATAGAATTTACGCTTCCATACAGTTTCTGGATGAAGATGTTCAAACGTATGCTGCGAGCTTACAGGTCATTGCAGCCAAAATGGAAATTCTCCAAGAGGAAGCACAAGCAACAGAAACCGCAATGATCAAGTGTGTGTACAAGCCAAAGTGTTAGATGAACGCCTGAAAGCTCCGTTTCTGAATGGCATAGTATTAAAATCAGGCAACACATCATGTCACAGGAGTTATCGACATTCAATGACATACTCAAGACATATCCATTAGATCTGTTCTCTTATGACGAGAATTCTCAGACACTGCATTCTTTAGAAAAAAACAGTTATTCCACTGAGATGCCCCTTTATGAAATATATGCAAGGTGAGCTATTCAATCATTAGGCAATTAAGACGATGTCACCTGCCTACAATAATGAAAAAATTGTGTACATACAAAACACACAACATACTATGAAATATCTGATTAGCAATGTAGGATAGGCTTGAACAACTTTGTGATATTCTGCTCTTTCCCCATTTTTTGTATTGTTTAAAT